CGATGCTTAAGTCAGCAATAATCGGGGCTACCTTTAAGGCGGAGATAAAAAGAGCTTAGGGTTGGTTCCAATTACCTTTTTGACGTGGCCCGGGGGGGTATTTATAGGATCCAATGAGGAACCCACGTGTCATGCCAAGCAAGATAATCGGAGCTTGACGTGTCCATCCAGACGATTATTCCGGGACCGAAAATTTGAGAGGTATTTAGATGCACGAGCGTCTACCATACTTGCTGTGCTACTCATCATAAGGAATCAGATGCGGACATGTTTATTGTCCTTGTCATGCAGCCATTTGAGCGGGAAGATTTGGATTTATTCCTCACTTCAGTCATGAAGGAATTACTGTAGCAGTCCGAGGCTTGGCACCTCGGACCTATCCTTACACTATTCCCCCCCCCGAAGTCATTCACTTGTGAATGATGTTATTGGGGATGTTGAGGGGAGTGCATAAACAAAGAGAATGAGGATAGGTTATGGAAGTAAGAAGAAGAAATAAAGTCTATAACTTAAATGTAAACATAGCCGTAGCTAATGATGAAATATGTAACAGTGGATTACACTGGGAGTGTCTTAAATAGAATATTACCGGAGCGATCATGGCTGTGGTCGTGTAAAAATAATGACTAGAATTAATCGTGGCTGTAGCTATAGTAAAAGATGATGACCGGAGTCATGATGGCAGGAGCCGTAATAAAATGTGATGACCGAAGTCATAATGGCCGGAGCCGAGGTTCAGTATGTGACATGTAGTCACAGTAACTAGAACCGAAGTAAAACATGTGTCTCTGTGGCCGGAGCCGAAGTAAAACACTATGCCAGTTTAAAAGTGTAATTGTATAAGTAAACAGAAGTGCTGAGCTAGGCTTAAATATAAAAATGGGAGTCAAAATGGCCGGAGCCATAATAAAACATAATGACCGGAGTCATAATGGCCGGAGCTGAAATAAAATGCGTGATACAGGATCACTGTGGCCGAAGTTGATGTGAAATGTAATGCAGCATTATTGTGGTCGGAGCCGAAGTGAAACACTTGACAAAATTGAGAAAAGTAAACAAAGGTGTTGAAATGGTCGTGAGTGGGTTCGTTCTGAAAAATCTGACAAAGGGGTAACACGTGGTGTGACAGTTGTCCTTAAAAGGATGTGCGCAATAAATGTGGCCGTAAAAAGATAACTGTGACAATTAAACGGGCGAATTTAAAAACGAACCGTCAAGTTCCAAACGGTACCGTTTGGGATTGTCCGTTGAATTTCAAACGGTGTCAACAGGGATCGTAAGATTAAACGAATCTCAACCGTTGAGATCTAATTTTGCCCAGAAGTATAAATAGGCATTTTTTCTACAGAAAAAGGTTTACTTGCATTTCTTTTCCTACAAAACTTCTGCGAGAAGCTTTACTGCGCGTTTCCTGTGCGTGAACTGCAGCATCAACTGGGGAACTCTAAATCAAGTTTTTCGAAACCGAGATCAGGTAATGTACACGAAACTCTGATTTTAAGTTAATCGAAGTGTCTTTATCCTTTCTCCCTTTCTGTGATTGATTTAGAGTTCTCTGAAGGAAGTTAGGGTTAGAGATGAGAGGGATTTTGAATGTGTAATAGAGGGGTTTTTTTTTTTTTTTTTATGGGTCCTGACTTCATTCCTCCCCCCCTACTTCGTGCAGAGTTTGAGAAAATGTCCTCAGAAGGAACAGAAAGTGTGATTGGGAGTGAGGTGATGCCTTTAGAGTATGGGGGTATAGACTCGGAGAGTAGTCTATCCTCATCTAGTTCGGAGAAGACAGTGGAGGGGATTAGAGAGGATGAGGTGGTGGAGGTTGGGAGGAACGAGGTGGTAAGGGTTGAGGGAGATAGGATACCTATTACGGTAGTAGAAGTAGAGGGTAGAGGAGAGGGAGAGTATGATGTGAATGTGGAGATAGTGGAGGAGGTGAAGCAGTACAGGTCTGAGCTAAGGACCAGGGATAGCCTGGGTCACTTGGTGGAGAATTATGAGATCTCTTCCCGAGTGTTAGTTAGGCCAGCTGGTGTAGAGGAGAGGGCGTGCTCTGCTCCTCGGGATCACTGGATGCTTGTGTATTCCCACTATTTGGTAGCGGGACTCAGGTTTCCACTTCCTGAGTTGCTGATAGGTTTGTTGTTAGATTACAATATAGGGTTGACACAATTGGTCCCCAATGCAATGAGGGTAATAATAGGTTTTTTAGTTTATTGCCGAGCTCAGGGGATTAGTGTGCCAATCGTAAATATGTTTAAGTATTTTTTTGTTTTGAAGGGGGGAAGTAGGAGGGATAAGGGGTGGTATTATTTCACCCCTAGGGTAGCTAAGAAGGAGAGTAGGATTTTATTTACTGCGGGTCCTTCATCCATTAAGGGATGGAAGGAAAAATTCTTTTTTGTGGATGATACGGAGTGGGGGAAGGGGGATGCCGAAGTGAGGGCGTTAGCTTCCTGGAAGGCCAAAAGGGCCAACCAGAATAAGTTTAGCTTAAATGGGGATGAGGAAGAAGAAGTGAGGAAGTTGGTGAGGAAGGGGGGAGATGTACTGAATATCATGGACCTCACCAGCGCAGCATGCATAGAAGCTGCTGAGCTCTATAGGCCAAGCGCTTTGAGTGAAGGTTTGTTTAACATGCACTGTAGCGTTAAATGTAGAATATAAAATTGTGACTAACATTGTATTTCTTGCTTTGCAGCTGAAATGGATCAGTTTTTGAACACTGCTGGAGGAGCGCCCATCCCCAAGAAGCCAAGGAAGAAGTCAAAGACTTCGACCAAGCAAGTGGATGAGGGGAGAGCTGGGAAGGAGATGGTGCCCTTGGCCTCAGCTGAGACGGAGGAGGAGGTGCCGCCGCTGAAGAGGAAGGGTTGGGAGGAGAGGAGGGCACTGTAGAAGAAACAGAAGGTGGTGGAGGAGGATGAGGGGAATGAGGTTCCTGAGTTTGTACCTCAGCCTCCTCTTGTTGAGCTGGACCCCGAGCTCAGACGATTGGAGGAGGGGGCTGAGGTACGGGCTCTTGGTAAGGGGAAGGGCCTTGTTTCCCCTACGGTGCCTCAGAGCAGCCTGTTCGAGGCGAAGAACGTAATGGGGGCTAGGTGGTTTATCAACAGCACCTTCCCCGAAGTGGACAAACGCCACGCGCGGGAGAAGGCTCTGAGGTACGGAGGAGCTTATGTTGTGAAGCACGTCCTTGAGGTACGTTAAATTAGTGCTACTGTTGATTTATTCTGTTTCTTCTTCTCTTCTTTCTCTTTGAACTTCTGTTTTGATTTGCAGAGCGCGAGCTGGGTGAATGGTCTAGCCTAGGAGTTCAGGGAGGGTATAAAGGCGCGCGCACTCTTGCAGAGGCAGTGTGACCAACTGCAAAAGGAGAAGGAGGAGCTGGAGAAGAAAAATAAAAATCTGCAAGAGTCGCTGGACGAGGTGGTTCCAACTGTGAGGCAGTTGGAACAGGAGAGGTCTTCCCTGAGCACCAAGCTCGGCTTTGAAGAGAGTAAATGAAAGATCTCTGAAAGCGAGCGTGAGGCTCAGGCGCAAGAACTGAAGCTGACGAAGGAGGCGTTCTTAGAGCTGAAGGGGAATGTGCAGGCCTTGGTGCACAATGGGATGAAGGAGCACATTAGCAACTTCATCAGCTCCAGCTTGTTTGACAACATCGTCAACCTATACCGGCTGCCTACGGCCATCATTGCCTTCACAGACTGCAGAAAGAAGGTGAAGGCTGCATATCCCGAAGTGGATGTGACAAAGATCACCTTCGGCGAGCAAGAAGGAGGAGTAGAGGAGGATGGCGAGAGCATGTCAGCAGACTTCCGTCCTCAGATTAAGCTGAGGTGGGAGGATGATGCAGACGATCTTGCTGTTTTTCCTCCACAGTTCGACTTCGAGTTCATGGCAGTGGAGGAAGAAGGGGCAGAGGTAGAGGCAGGAGTGGGGGGAGCTGAAGTGGGTGAGGTGCAACCAGCTCCAAAAGTGGAGATTCATCCAGTTCCTTCTGACGATGAGCAGCCTCCTCTGCCAGACGAGCAGCAGCCAACACAGCCACCTCCTCCAGCTGAGTAGGAGCTAATGCAGTCACCTCTCCAGCAGAGAACTTTTGTTTTTTAAGTTTTGTAGAACATTGAAACAATTTGTAATTCTTCGTTGAATGAAAATTCATTTTTAAAATCATGTGTTTGTTTGTGTTTGATTTACATTTTTGTTATTATTTTTTATTAATAAAAGAACTGAGATTATTTGAGATGTGATTTGAAAGAAAGTTAACCACTTAAGAAGTGAACCAAAGAGAAGTAAACCACTTTAGACGGATTAAGAAGAAGTAAATTACGTCAGATAAATTAAGAACAAGTACATTACTATAAATGAATAGAGGGGAAATAAAGTACTTCATATGTGAAGTGACTTTTATTAATCAGAAGTGAGGTTCAAGAAATGAAAGAACTAATTAACCTCGGGTACATAGAATAAGAAGTAAAATGAATCTCAGCAAACACGAAGTGAGAAACGTAAAGAACAGTTAGACTTAGAACACTTGAAAGAATTTTATTAGGGGTAAAATTTCTTCAAGTTATTGACATTCCAGACTCTAGGAACTCTCTTTCCTTCAGCGTCTTGGAGAATATAGGCACCAGGATGTGGCACTTCGGCCACGGTATAAGGGCCTTTCCAATTTGGGGCGAGTTTGCCAAAACGAGTTTCAAACCCTGTTAGGCCAGCTTTTCTGAGAACAAGGTCTCCTATTTTGAATGTGCAAGGGCGGACCCGTTTATTATAGAAGTTGGCTAGTTTCTGCTTGTATACAAGAGTTCAAAGCCGAGCTTCTTCTCTGACTTCAGCAAGCAGATCAAGGTTTTCTCGAAGCAGTTGTCCATTTCGTCCTTCATCGAAATGGGTGACCCGGAAGCTTGAGACTCCTATTTCAACAGGAATAACTGCTTCGGTACCAAAGGCCAGGTGGTAGGGTGTTTCACCTATTTCAATTAATTATAACTTTAGAATGTGCTTTATGCATTATGCATATTTGCTCTAAGGTAAAGCGTATTAGAAAAAGTAAAATACTATAGAAATTAAGCAAATAAACTCGGTTTAAAGTAGTACATGTGGCAGTTCGGCTCGTGGTTCTGTATGCCCAGAGGACGTTGTTGAGCTCATCTGCCCACTTGGTCTTATGCTGCTCCAATCTCGGCTTTATACCCTCCAAAATGCATTTGTTAACAGATTCCACCATGCCATTGGACTCCGGGTGGTAAACGGAGGTGAACTGTAACTTGATCCCATAACTAGAACAGAAATCCCGGAATGAAGAGCAATTGAATTGAGTTCCATTATCAGCCACAATTTGATTCGGGATCCCATATCTACAGATGATCAAGCTGAAAACAAAATCTTCGACCTTCTTGGAGGTAAGACTAGATAAAGGCCGAGCTTCAACCCATTTTGTGAAATAATCCACACCAACAACCAGATGGGTTACACCACCAACCCCTTTCACGAATGGACCCAAAAAATCTAGTCCCCATTGTGCAAATGGCCATGGTGCTACCAAGGTAGTGAGTTCTTCTGCAGGTTGGTGAGTTAGATGTGCAAAGAATTGGCACTTCGGACATTTCTGAACAAAGTGAGTGGCATCCTTATACATGTTTGGCCAATAATATCCCTGTCTTAAGACTTTGTGAGCCAGAGTTCTAGCACCGACGTGACTCCCGCAGACACCTTCATGTACTTCTCGAAGTGCATACTCGGCTTCATAGGGATTCAAGCATCTCAGAAGAGGAAGTGAAAAAGATCGCTTATAGAGAACCCCATCAGCAAGTGTATACCGAGATGCTTTCTTTCTCAACTTCATCGCCTCTTGCCTGTCCTCAGGTACTATTCCATCTCGCAAAAAGGAGATAATTGAGTCAGTCCAGCTTGGTGCGTCAGGGTTTGTGCTGATCTCCATCATCCGAGGCTTCATGAAGCTTGGTTCATCTAAGACCTCCACAAAAACGGATCTGGAACTTAAAGAACTATCAGAGGCAAACTTGGAGAGTAAATCTGCCTGTTCATTCTCAGCTCGGGGAATTTTACTCAAACAGAATTTCTGGAATTTGCACTTCAGCTCGGCCACCAAGGCTACATACTTTACCATCACATGATCAACAACTTCACAGATTGAGTTGATTTGGTTTACTACCAACTGGGAGTCACTGTATACTTGAATTGTTCTGATTTTCAACTCCAATGCTAGCTGTAAACCAAGTAGTAGAGCTTCATATTCAGCCATGTTATTTGTTGCATCGAAATTGAACTTCAGGGCATGTTGGCTTCGGTATCCCTCTGGACCAATCAAGAGAGCACCAGCCCCTGAACCCTTGCTACTAGATGCTCCATCAACATATAAGGTCCAGTCGTTGGGCTCTGAATTAGAGTTTGAAGGACATGGGGTGCATTCGACAATAAAATCTACTAATGCTTGAGCTCAGATGGCCGATCTCCGCTGAAATGTTATCTCAAACTCTCCCAGCTCTACTGCCCACTTAATTAGTCTTCCAGAGCACTCTGGTTTCTGTAGAATCTGCCTGAGAGGTTGGTCGGTGAGAACGATAATTGGGTGTGACTAAAAATATGGCCTCAACTTTCTGGCCGAAGTGACGACTGCTAATGCTGCTTTCTCAGCTATGGGGTATCTCAGCTCTGCTCCGTGCAGCACGCTGCTGATATAATAAATTGGTTTCTGCTACCTAGCTTCTTCTCTCACTAGAACTGAACTAATGGCCTCATCTGAAATCCCCAGGTACAAATAAAGAAGTTCTCCATCTATAGCTTTAGTTAACAGAGGCGGTGAACTAAGATAAGACTTCAGTTCTTCAAATGCAGCTTGACATTCCTGGTTCCATTCGAACTTCTTGTGTTTTCCTGATTCGTCTTTTTGGGCGACCGACCTCATAATTTTGAAAAACGGTAGACATTTATCTGCTGACTTCGATATGAACCGATGTAGAGCTGCCACCCTTCCAGTCAGCCTTTGTATATCCTTCACTGATTTCGGCGGTTCCATCTTGGCAATTGCTCTGATCTTCTCTGGATTGACCTCAATTCCCCTTCGAGACACCATGAAACCTAGAAATTTTCCAGACTCCACCCCGAAGATGCATTTGGCTGGATTTAACCGCATCCTGTTCTTTCTGAGGTTGTTAAAGGTTTCGTCGAGGTTAGCGAGATGGTCTTCTGCTTTGAGGCTCTTTACCACAATGTCGTCGACATATACTTCCAGATTCTTGCCAATCTGAGCGTGGAAGACAATGGTTACCATTTTCTGGTAAGTAGCACCTGCGTTCTTTAAGCCGAACGGCATCATGACATAACAATAAATTTCATCGCCAGCATAGAACGCGGTTTTCTCTTCGTCTTCTAGAGCCATTAGCACCTGGTGATACCCCGAGTATGCGTCTAAGAGGCTTAACCTCTCATTGCCTGAAGCTGCTTCAACTAATTTGTCAATGCTCGGCATTGGATAGCAATCCTTAGGGCAAGCGTTGTTAAGATTTGTGTAATCAATGCACATTCGCCATTTACCATTTGCCTTTTTCACGAAAACTGGGTTAGCCACCCATTCACAGTAATCAACTTTCCTGATAAAACCAGCCTGTAGGAGCTTCGTTACCTCTTCTTTAATAGCCTGAAGCCTCTCACCCCCGAAGAGACGCCGCTTCTGGGCCACTGGTTTCTTCAATGGATTGGTGCTGAGTTTATGTTGAGAGACTGAATTTGGAATTCCTGGCATGTCTGCCGAAGTCCATGCGAATACATCATTATTAGCTCGAAGAAAAGCTATTAGCTCTGCCCTTTCCTCTGGGTTCAATCTA